GCAGGTTTAGCTCATAGTCTGAAACACTGTCAGGGTTTGGCTGCATTCTCACACACCCAACAAGTATTTTACACTCACAGCAACAAAAGAGGTCCGGTAAGGCTGCAGACCTGACAGGATAAAAAAATCCCTCTCTGCTCCTCTGTTTTAACAGCAACGTAAATCACAATGCAAACAGCATGTAAATGAAAGTGTATGAGCTAGTTCCCAACTCCTTTTGCTTCCCTCATGAGCTTTGAATGAAAAAAAAAGAAAGAAAGAAAAAGAAAACACGACTTCCTGTATGAGTCGACAACACAAATTCGTTTGCATACAGCTTTGTTTTTAGCCGTTGGAGCGTCCTGAGGGAAGCAGGTGGCAGAGCTGGAAAAAAACAGGCATCCTGCAGATTTTCCATCTATAAAAACAAAAACATTGAAGAAAATTAAATCCTTTTAACGTTAACCGAAAATTAGGTCTGATGCTTCCCTATGTATTCAGATGCAAACTTATCTCATCTATACTTTAGAGCTTTAATTTCACTGATTTAATGGGTTGTTTTTAAATTAGCTAAAAAAAAACAATCACCACATTATTAAAGCTTAAGATAATATTTTTAATGAACACAACAATGATAAGTCCTTTAATTAATTATGAATTAACAATGAATCATTTTAATATACTACTAATATACTGACTAAAACGGTTTAAACTACATCTTCTGGTGTCCCGGCAGCAGGATGGACTGATCCAACTTTATAGAGATGATACTCTTCCCCTCTTCCTCACAGATCAACTCTCTGACTCATCGGTGAGCCCAAAAATAGTTCCTACAGCTCTAGACAAAATAGAAGAAATCATGAGGCACCATCCTACATTGTTGTCAGACTTTCTGGTAAATTCCCTGGCACATAAAAAGGTGAAATGCAAACAGCTTTTTGCTCTATGAGTATCGTAGCATTTAAGAAATTGACATTAAATTCTTTATTTAGACCACACAAGAACATAAATACCATCATAATAGAGGGATAAGGAGACACCCATATGCACAGAGCTGTTTGTATTGGTAAGTGAAACTGTGCTGGATGAGCGTGCTGGGTGAGGAATGCAGGGCAGGGAAGGGAAAGTTCTGATCATGTTGTTCATTGTTGACTGAAAGGGAGCGTTAAAGCTCATCTGTCAGAGTGTGACTGTTATACCGTGGGACATAAATGACTGCAAGTCAATCCCTGCTACTGTTTGGTTCAATTAACCAATTAAGTGGCATATGAGACAAAAAGATAGCATGAGGTCGGCGCCAGGGAGTCTGCAGAATAGCTGCAGGGTCATGGCCTGCAGCTGTTTTTAGAGTTGTCAAATGCATCTATACTCTGAAAAGTATCAATAATTGAATGTTGTTTATGGATACAATACTAATTTGGAATGGAATAGATAATAAACAAGTGTTTTTGCACATTTTTGCTACTGTAAATATTAGATTTTTTTCACATTAAAATAACAATACACCAAACAAATCAAATTGTGTTATATTTGGGTTATTTTGCATTTATTTGCGCACTAATAGAATCTGTGATCCTGTTGTTGTTCCATGTGGAGATTAAAAATGGGGACTTTTTTTAGATTAAGAAATATATTTTTACACCTTTAATTATGAGGCATTTCTTGTTTCCATGGTATCTAAAGTGGTATCCAATATTTTCCTAGGTATTGACCCTAGCTGTTTGTGACAAACTGATTTGTATGCAGTAAAGAAGTCAATAGATGCAACTAAAACCTAAAGTTACCACAATGAGCAGAAGGTGGTTGAAGTCAACTCACCATTTGATGTGACCATGAGAAGTTAATGCAGAATGGCACAGAGTAACATTTAGATACATGACACTGGATGGTTATAGATAAGAGAGACGCCAAGCAGTAGAATCTGATGCAGTGATAGCAAGCTGTCAATAGTGCATTGCATTTTTATCCTTATACAAAATACACCAAATCTGTTCAGACAGCTTGAAAAAGGATGATAAAAGAGGTTAGCTGAATACAGGGACTCCCGGCCTTTTTCTTTTTTTTTTGTTGCTTATGTGAATCCCTCTAGTGGTAAATTACACTCCTTTAGTTCCCTAAACCCAGCTGCATCCTCTGAAAACACAAACCATTCCTGACTATGCCACAACAGCCGAATAAAATATGCACAATGATCCACAAGTTGGGGTTAGTTTTGTGTGTTTCCAGTAAAATGATTGAAAAAATGATGGTTAGGATGATAATTTTTGTTACGCTCAGCTTAAACTACTTATAGCTGCTAAAGAGAAAGAAATGGGAGTTTCAGGTTAGTGAATGGTGGCAAAGAACAGCCCAAAGTATGGGTTCATCTGAGTAAAGTATTGACTAAATCAGCTTGGATTAGTCTTGTCTTCATTTGTGAGATCCTGTCTGATACTGACAATATGTTTATTTTTCTATGTTTCAAACTCAACTGTTAAAAACTAGAAGCCTTTTTGTCAATTTGATGACGCGTGACTTAAGAGGGAGGGCAGGAAGTAAACTGTCAATGGAGGCAACCATTGCAGAGAGCCTGCATCGTAGTGATTCAGATCACTTTGAAAAAAATGAGTTTCTGACATAACCTCAAGATTAGCCAACAAAGCCAAAGATAATAAAACCTATCAGTGCCTTCATACTGCTACTCTAAAATAGCAGATGCAAGCTAGCTAACTTTTTATTTCTTCTCATTGGTTGGGTCAGTAAAACACGACCTGCAATAATTATTGTTGATGTGTTAGTTTATATATTCCAAAAAAGTTAAAAAAAAAAACCCACCAACTTTGTTTTCCAAGTTTGAAAATGTTTTGCTTCCCATTTCTCAATATAAAATATCAGGAGTAGCGTTTGAGTTCCAGGCTTATAGAGTGGCCCAAACAAAAGCCTTGTTATGGCTTAGAAAACATAGCCTAGTAAACTAGCCCCACCCACCAGCGGCCAAAATCATTTTTGCTTGCGACAAAGCTGTGCGACACTGGAGAAAGCACAACAAGGAAAATGGCACCAAGTATTGAACAGTAGCAGGCAGCTGCGGCAGCAGCTTTCAATGGAGCTCCATTAAAAGTTAACATTTTCTTTTCTGTTGCTGTTGTTCAATAAAGTAAGTTTTAAGATCATTTGAGGTGAGAATATTATACTTTAAAGTGTCACTATATGGTCCATTTACCGATTTAATGCGTAATAAAAAAAAAATATTTTCGAAGTTGACAGGACAGCAGCAACCAGCGGACCTCCGAGGCAAACTGCAGCCCGTCTGCGGCGGCCCTCCTTCAGCATAGTCATGTATGAAGGACCACTGGCTCTGATGGCGATTTTTGACTCAGCTTTGTAATCAGTTTTGGAAGGATCAGACTTGGGGTTTTCGTTGAAATGTGAGCAGGAAGAGGCTCTACGCTCTTTCATTTTTAAGAAGGACGTATTCGCAGTTTTATCGACAGGCTGTTTGTTTACACTCCCCCACCAGCTTTCTGTTGCCCTTACTACGTCACAGTCAGTTACGCTCGTTGGTCAGAGCGTTGGCCAATAGGCACAGACATGGTTTGAAAAGCAACAGGTTGTTCTCACCAACAATCTTCCAATGTCTCATTCATTGGGGCCAGACTAAATTACACATTTAATCTCATATTTAGTCTGGTTTATCATGCTATAGAAAACATGCAAACTGAATAAAAAAATCAGGTCCACCCATTAGTAAAGGGGAGCCAACATCGTTTTAAGCCTGCAAAACTGGATACTGACCCGTGCCTCTAAAAAGGGAGTCGACCAGAGTTTATTAGTTTATATATTAGCCGGAGGTTGATGGGAGCCCAGTCTACCGACTAACTAGCCCAACAGTCATTACTCAGTAAATAACAATTTCACAACAAGTACTGATAAACAGAACCCAGAAATGGACACTACTGCTAATGAAGAAGCCACGGCAGACACATGGCAGGTTTCTCACTAGCGTATTTCAGCTACAAAAAGGTCACCTGTAATGCTAAAAAAAAACAGGCTGATGCAGTAATTTTTTAAAATATAAACACACTTAATATTATTTATTAACATACAAGCAGAAAAGAAAAAGAAATAACAGTTGCATGTAAAGAGCAATCGATATCGGATAATAAATTGCTGATATCCGATCCAGGTATCGGGTCGGTGAAACTCTAGTTATAGAAGTCAACTAAAATAAACCAAAAGTTGCTGGAATTCCTGATAGAGGGATACAGAATGCCTTAATATTTACAGCAAGATGATACAGCTGCAAAATATTTTAAAAAATTGCCTTCAAACCTCCACCTTTTCTGGTAAGATATTTTTAATATGCAGCAATAAACTTGCAAATGCAGGAAAAAAAATGATTGTTTGGGTTCAACTTATACCAATAATTTAAAAATAAAAAAACTGTACTCATCATTTTTGCAATTGTTGAGCAATTATCCTCCCCAGAACTAGAATAAGTGACCCAAATAGGGCATGTTTTACTAGATGTGAAACGCACAGCTGATTTAATTTTCAGCCCCTGATAAAGAAAGGAAATAAAGAGAGTAGAAAAATAGTATTGAAAACAGGAGAGAGCTGAGGCTGCAGAATTACTGAGTGGTTTAGTGACTGCTGTAATAATACTTAGGCTGGTTGTTAATCTGCTCTAGGCGAGGAAAAAAGAAAAAAAAAAAGCCTCTCCGGCTGATCCTCTGCCATCATCATCTTCATCATCATCACCGCAACCCCACAAGCCTCAGCATGTACCAGTTAAGTCATGGTAGTGGGCTTATGGGGGGTGGGTATGCTCACTGGAGGAGGGACATTGATCTAATCCTTGCTCAAATCAAGCCGCAGTGACCACTTTTACAGCAGAGTCCACAAATCTACGAAGTGCACCCAATGAGAGACAAACTGTCTTCAAGGGCAAATGAGTAATCCGGCTACAGGGAGGTCTAAACCCTCTTAAAAAGAGCTCTAAAAACAGATGGTATTTGTTTCTGTGTACGTGTGTCAATTACCTTAATTTGCTGTCGCCGTAGAGTGGCCACTTCCCTGATGTCCCTGAAAGGCTGAAGCAGGTAGTGGTAGAGCTGGGTGGTGGCCTCGAGCAGCTCTCCGTACGCCTCGTCCTCCTCCGGGTACACCTGCAGCAGCTCCACCATGCTGTCAATGGCCTTGTGCTTGTCCAACACCTGGGACAAAGTAGATGGAAAAGACAGAGAGAGGATGAAGACGTGAGTTGTTGGAGCATGATCCACTTCAATGTTGAAACAAGGAATTCAAAGGCTCAGATTTTTGTTTAACATTGCAATCTTTAAACATCTCCATTCTGAATTTTTGCAGCAATTCAAAATTTGAACATTCTTTTTAGTTAGCGACAGCTTTTCTCTGAAAGAAAATACTAAAATTCATCAGCACCAGCAGGCCTTTTATATCTGACAGAGAATCTGTGGAGGTCTGGTTGAAGGCAAAGAGACCTTCTATTGATCATCATTAAGGGTACCCTACTTTCTGGACTAGAAGCCGCCATTTTTTCCCCCCACGCTTTGAACGACACGACTTCTAAAAAAGTGCAGCTTTTCTGTGGATTTTTCCACCAGGGGGCAGAAGTCAAAGCTTGAAAATGAAGGGGGTAATTTTCATTTAGAACAAACATATGCAAGCAGCACAGAAAAAAATGTCCTGAATTCACACATTTTGACTTTTATTTGCCGCATTTTAACTACTGAACCAATGAAGAGACCGTGCACAACTCCTGTGGAGCTCTTACTGCCTGTCACTACATGATCCGTACCGGAAGCACGATCTATACCATCGGTTCATTTGTGCATGCGCAAGCAGATACACACTCGGGTTTCCATAATTCATCTAATTATGGAACTAAAATTACTTATTTCAATACTTTACTCACTAAAGAATGCTACTACAGATCTTTAAAAAAAAAATTTATGATTTTTCTGGGACAATTTTTATGCTTTTTACATTTTTTGTTGAGCTGCTTGTCTGTCATCATCACCAAACATGCTCAGAGCAGTCCCGCAAAATATGATTAAACCATGTTTATCTGCATTTCAGTTCTTTCTTTATTTGGGTTAAGGCAGATTTATACTTTGAAACTAGGTCGTCTGCATAGGTGTCGCAGTGAACAAAAAGACATCCCCGCCCCCTCCGCAGACACTCTGCTGCACCTCTCCCAAATTGTGGTTGACTGCAGACAGTGCCGTAGACAGGAGGCCTCTGATTGGTCAGATCTACATCTGCTTATCGCCTTGTTTTGTTTTTATGACCGCAATTCCGGAAAACAACTCGTGAAGATGGACCAGCTAGAACAGTGAGGTGTGCAAGAAAGCTGGGACCCTTTTTCCACCTGGATCCCCGCTCTTTTTTCGCCGTCATGTCCCTCCGTTGCCGGACAAACTTGCCCCAGTTCGTCCCCGCCTCGGCTGTATCTAGACCCACAGCGTATGGCGCAGACCATCCTTCAATACTGAGCATAAATCAAAAATGTCTGTATCAAGCTCACTGCCATACACTGCTGTTGGGAGTATAATTAGCCCTTTACGCACTATATACCATAAAGTTAAAAAAACTCAAAAAGACTAGATTTATGTTTCAATCCAAAGCCGAAAAAGTTAGCTCCCTGAAGTAGCGTAGGAGCCCTGAACTGATCGGGCTGAGACGAGTGATAAAACAGAAAGGGTTTTAAGGCATTTATTTTCCCAGGAAATACATTAACCTTTAACACATTATATTTTAGTACACTTACTATTTTAGGAGTTAAAAACGTAGCAAAGGTCTTTTTTTTTACAAAATAAAATTGAGGATGACCTGGATGTATATGTGGTTCCGCATGCGCAAATGGGCTTATGGTAGGGATTGTGCTTCCGGGACGGATCGGGAAGCGACACTGCCACGAGACAAGCTAACGGGAGCTAGTGTTCTTCTTCATCCCTACTGTAGGGGTGATACATAGGGCTCCCCCTACAGGTTTGGTGGGGGACAGTGAGTAGATATAAGCAGCTTATAGCCTGGTGTGGTTTACAAATGTGTGTTTCCAGTTTTTTTTGTTTTTTTTTTTTTTTTTACTTAGTGGGTATGGCTTATAATGAGATGCACCCTATAGTCTAGAAAATATGGTGGAATTAATCTTTGACAAGGCATTCTTACAATAAACAGAGAATTCGTTTTAAAAAAAAGTTCAAACCTTCAATCAGCACAGTTACCTTTTGGAAGCAGCTTGTTTGTGTGTGAATTATTATAATAAATGAAGAGGATTTGATAACTATGTTTATCTTGGAAGGGAAAATTAGTTGCTTACTAATTTCATACCTATTTTCACAGATGCAGCTGTATGCTGTTGGATTTTTCATATAAACTCATACTCCCTTACCCTGTAGGAAGGGCAGGGCTGATTGGAGATCATTTGTTTTGATCAGGGATAATATATATGATACACATATTAAACAGCGTTTTTATGGAAAATTACCTCCAACGTTATTTAATAATTACAGAGAAAATCAAAATAAACAGAATAAAAAAGCATCTTTTGACTGAAATGGTTTGTCTACAATTGTATGATAGAAGCAGAGACAGTTCGGTATGAAATTGAGGAGTTGACTCGGTTCTGGCAAACATTACAAAAGCACAGATATACACAGACAAGCATCACTAATTATGGTTTAAACAACAAATTCTGCCTTATTATTTGATTACCTTTTTGCCAGATTCCAAACTCAGACATTTTCTGAACTAAATATAGCTCAGTAATTCGCTGCCCTCTCAGTGATTATCTGTTTGAGCTGCATTAGTGGCTTTAGGAGAAACAAAGTGTTCACTTTGATTAATACACTGCCATATAAACTGCATTTCTCGATTACTTCAAATACAATAAGACCATACTGAGGGTACTCTGGAAGACACTGACAGGAATAGCATATGTCCAATTTTTAAAATGATCCTGCACAACATGCTGCTGTTTAAGGGTTTGATACATGTAGACTCTATTATCCTCTTTGAAGGACATTCTTAGCTATTATGTGATGTCACTCATAAAATCTTAATGAGGATCGAATTTAAGAGGCTGTAGGCCACTTGAGTTGTAGTCTTAAAGTTTTTGGGGGTCTTACCGACCAGGTTTTAGTTTAATCACAATAGAATTATGGTTAAGCATAAGGGATGTAAATAAAAAATTGACCTATGATTGAAGATTTATGGTTTATTAGATTAAAATCAGATCAATCCGATTAATTGATAATGTCCGTTTAGAAGGAATTTTCCTCAGTGTAGATGTTCGTTCCTAAATGGAACCTCATGGGCTGGTTATACTCCCCTAGCAGTGTGTCGCAGTGAGCTTGGCGCAGATATTTTAGATTTACGCCCAATATTGAAACATGGTCTGTGCTATGTTATTCCACACCACAACGCAAGACGGACAATCAGAAACTAGCTGTGGGCTTAGATACTGCCGAGGCGGTGAGGAAGTGGGGTCAAGTTTGTCTGACAACAGAGGGACATGAGGGTGAAAAACAGCAGAGATCCAGGTGGAAAAAGGGTCCAACTTCACAAGTCGTTTTTCACAATGTTGGTCATGCAAACAAAACAAGCCGATAAGGAAATACGCATAGTGTAGAGCAGATGTAGAATTGACCAATCAGAGGCCTCCTGTCTGCTGTCACCTACAATTTTGGAGAGGTGCACAAGAGTGTCTGCGGAAGGGGCGGGGGCACATCTGCATTCACTGTGACACACACAGATGACCTTGTTTCTGAGTATAAATCAGCCTTCACTGGTATTAGCAAGAGAAATAATTCTAAAGCAAAAAAAATGATGCTAGAGCAGAAACAGAAAACAATCCTGAGTTCATGATTGTTTACAGTTTATTGGCGTCAAAGATGCAGAATGCACTTCATGTGTTTTTTTTTCCTTTTAAACAAATGCTCGCCATCTCCTGAAGAGCACCAACGTAGTCACACGGCATGGTAGTCAGAAGGCGAGGATTTGAATTGAAGAGTGAAGGGCCTCACCTAGGGTGACCATATTTTCATTTGGGAAAACCAGGACACCTTGGAGCGG